AGGAGACACCTGGCGGTGAGCCCAGAGGGCCTGGCAGTCACGACCCTTGCCTGGATCAGTGACCGTGCGAGGAGCTGTGGATGTCCCTATGGCCACAGAGGCCTTGGGTGTGGCACTTGTTGGGCAGGAGTGGGCAGGACTTTCCAGGGCCCTGTCTTAGAGTGACCTGGGACCTAAGGCATCTAGTCTTCGATGCTTACCTTGGAGATTGTTTTTCTCCTGCCCTGTTGCCGGCAAGGGCCAGGGTCCCGTCCCAGGCCTGGTTCTGTCCCCTTCTGCTGCCCTTCCACCTGCCATGCTTCCTCTTGCTCTTTTGCAGGTGGAGAGGATGAGGGGTGAGAACGCCACCAAGGTCGGCACCTTCATCCTGCTGGGCTTCCCCACGGCCCCCAGGCTGCAGTACGTGCTCTTCCTCCTCTTCCTGCTCACCTACCTCTTTGTCCTGGTGGAGAACCTGGCCATCATCCTCACCGTCTGGAGCAGCGCCTCCCTCCACAGGCCCATGTACTTCTTTCTGGGCTCCTTGTCTTTCCTGGAGATCTGGTACGTGTCTGACATCATCCCCAAGATGCTGGACGGCTTCCTCCTGCAGCGGAAGCGCATCTCCTTCGTGGGGTGCATGACTCAGCTCTACTTCTTCAGCTCCCTGGTGTGCACCGAGTGCGTGCTCCTGGCCTCCATGGCCTACGACCGCTACGTGGCCATCTGCCACCCACTGCGCTACCAAGTCATCATGACCACGGGGCTGTGTGTCCAGCTGGTGGCCTTCTCCTTTGCCAGTGGCTTCACCATCTCTGTGATCAAGGTCTACTTCATCTCCAGCGCCACCTTCTGTGGCTCCAACGTCCTGAACCACTTCTTCTGTGACATCTCGCCCATCCTCAAGCTGGCCTGCACAGACTTCTCCACTGCAGAGCTGGTGGACTTCGTCCTGGCCTTCCTCATCCTGGTGTTCCCACTCCTGGCCACCGTCCTCTCCTACGGGCACATCTCGCTGGCCGTCCTGCGCATCCCCTCGGCCACGGGCCGTTGGAGGGCCTTCTCCACCTGTGCCTCCCACCTCACCGTTGTCACCATCTTCTACACAGCCTTGCTTTTCATGTACGTCCGTCCCCAGGCCATCGACACCCGGAGCTCCAACAAGCTCATCTCTGTTCTGTACACGGTCCTCACGCCCATCTTGAACCCCTTGATCTACTGCCTGAGGAACAAGGAGTTTAAGGAGGCCCTGCGGAAGGCCCTGGGCCGGGGTGGAGCCGGGCCTTAGCAGGGGGCGCGTCCCCTCTCCAGCAGCAGCTGAGAACCTGCGGCCCCTCTGACGGGGCCCCTGTGCTAAGCTGGAGGTTCTGGGCATTGGTGGGGCCGAGCCTCCTTATTACTCCACATCTGGTCTCCTTCAGATCACAGAGGCCGACTTCATGGCTGCTGTTGCTCCTGGATTTTGTTGTTTTTTTGTTTTAATTCATGAGCAAAGCAGAACTTGGTAAAGTTTAACGAATTTTCCCCACCTTTAAAATCGCCATAGGCATTTCAGAAGACAGAAAAGCACGCCAGCTCATCCTGCCATCCTCAAGAACTTGGGGTGGTGAGGAGCTGGAGCCCC